GGGAAAACGGAGAAAAGAGGCGGTGGCGGCGCTACGTGGGCCGGGGTGGGGCCCGGAGAACAAAGAGGCCGCGAGAGCCGGCGGCGCTCCGCTCGTCCACGCGCGCCTTCTCGGGACTGGGGTCCGCTCGGGTCACCGCCGCCCGGGCGGGCCGCCGGAGCCTCAGAGCGCGCAGAGCTCTCGAGTCCAGTCCGGCTGCAGGGTTAGACTGTCCGGTGGCGCCCAGGCATCTGCATGCTAAGCAGGGTCCCGACGCCTCGGCGCAGGGATGTTTGAGAACAATCGCCCCCCGTCCGACCGCACCTGGCCTCACAGCTCCCGCGAGCCCAGAGCCCGGCCGCGGCAGGCCACGCCCAACAGCGCCGGGGCCTCTCCTTTGGTCCCGCCCCCTTCTCAGCGCGGATTGGTGGCGGGGAGCGACTCTGGCGCTGATTGGGCAGCGGAGGAGTCGCTCGCGGAGACTGCAATTTCGGGTGCTCCAGGGTGCTAAATTTATCTTCAGAAGAGCGACCGCGCCAGCCGCGAATCGGAGCTCTGTGGAGGTGGCATAGGCGACACCCCTGAACTGAGAGCATCACCCTGTCCCCGAACCCTTCTTTCCTGTTTTATTTTTCATTTCCCTGCCCTCCCTCCTCACCCCAGTCTGCGACGACTGGCTCTTGACCCCGTTCAGGCCTCGGTGAAGGTGAGGACCGGAGCGGCCGCGGCGGCTGAGTGGCGCGCTTGAAATGGCCGCTGCCTGGAGCTGTCTAAAATGGCGGCCGCGGGCTCAGCTGGGGACCGCGGCGCTGCTCGGCAGCCCAGCCGCCGTAGACCGTTCTCTCCATCACTGGTGGAGACGAAGTAGAAAGATCGTGTTGGGTGCTGAGGCGTGTACCTGTGGTGGTTAGCCGAGGCGGCCGTCCGGGGACGCGCGAGAGGAGCTGTGTAGGCGAGGGTGGGCTCCGACAGGAAGCGCCCCCAGATGCGGCGGTCTGCGGGCATCGCCCCCCAGAGACAAGGAGCTGAGGGATGGCTGTCCTAGGCCACACATCGAGGTGGCCGTTGCTAGAAGCATTTAGGTGCTGGAAGGGGTGCCCTACCCGCGTCCCGCCTAGGCTTCCCGAAAGGACTGCGCTCCTCCCCGCCCTCCTGCCCCGAGGGTATTGTTCGCAGCTGGAAACGCCCGCGGGGGGTGGAGGGAGGGCGCTACCTTTCCGTTTAACCGGAAGAAACAGAAAACGAGGGAGCCGCCGCCCCTCCCTCGCCCCCGCCCCCCTTTCAGGGAGTGAAATAGAAACTTTGCTCTCTAGGGAGTCCAGACTTTGCCCTCGAGAGCCTGGGGGAAGCACCTCTAAAGAGGTGAGGTTGAGGCCCCCTTTCCTGGAAACAGGCTTCCCGCTCCGCGTGCCCTGGCTGCGCGGGAGGGCGCCTCATCTTTCAGGCCCACCAGCGGCGCCGGGAAGCGCTCTCGCTAAGTCCCAGTCGGAACTGTGGAGAGGGAATGCCCTGCAGTTTTGCTCCCGATAATGCAGAAGTACGCGTTTCTCCTCCTGTCAGTTTGAGATCCTCGACTTTCTGGCAGTTGTAACCCGTTTATCCCTGCACCATCCGTCTCCTGGTACCAGATATTTTAGTGCTTAGGAAATTGAGTATTCAGGGACACACAATAATGGCTAGGCATGTGGGCTCTGCAGTCCCACTTTTGGGGTTCTAAGTTCTTCACTTAAAAGGTGTGTTAATGAAGCACGTGACTTGACTTCTCTGTTGTCTATTTGTTCATGTCTCAAGTGGAGTTATTGATAATCCCTGACTCTCAGGTTTGCTTTAAGGGTTAATTGAGCTCATCTATAAGGGATTTGGCAGTTACTGGCACACTGTAAACAGTGGCCACTCAGTATGCATCAGTAACCTTGGGGATTGGTTATTGAGGGGACAAAAATGGTTATAGCAAAAAGGCATATTTCATGTAACACTTCTATGTATCGACTGCTTCGATTTTAAATTACTTTCAGTGCTTAGTTTTAGAAACAATTAAGGTATGGTTGTACTATTAAAAGTTAGGCTTAGTTTTTGAAAGTTTTTAATGTGTTTCGATGAAGTCAGTGTCAGAACAGTGAAATTACTAGGGTATTAAACAGGATAAAAATACTAGCATATTTACTATGTTAGGCATCTTCTGTTTCAGTCCAAGATCTGCACTGCAGTGAAGAATCATTTGCACTACCTGGATCTAAAATAAGTTGTATTGGATGGTCAACTTAGAGGTATGTAGTTAGTGCTGCTTTTGTAGTGTCTAATTTTAATTTTTCTCATTCTAGGCTATTGGTTACTCCCCTTCCACCCCATCCCTTAATTTTATTCTTTTGAAGAGTCTTCATTGCAAGCTGCCAAGGTGGAGAGTGATTCCAGAAGGGAGTACTCCTCATTTCAGGTATCTTACCCTCTAGTTATTAATAGGAAAAACATTTTGATTCAAGATCTAACATGAGAATACAAAGCTTACTGTGTAGCCAAGTCATAAAGTTTAAATCAAAAGTAGCTGTATCTGGATAGACACTAAGTTCCTATATCTTAACTTGTAAAGCTAGTAGTATTCTTTAGAGGTCCTAAGATTTGTGTTCCCCTTCCTAGGAATAAACCTATTAAAATTAGAGTTTATATTTTCTTTAGGTCTTGGTTATAGTTTTCATCTATAGTATAATGGAATGCAGAGTAATCAGTAAAATGTACATTATTTTGAATGAGTCTTAATTTTAAGTTCAGAGAAATAGTAGCTAACTTTTGGTCCACAGTTTATTTTGTGATGTCAACCAACACACAGTATTTAGGATACACCAAAATTCTGTGTCTTGCAAAACTTGAACTGTTTGTGTATTTTTAATAAAGATCGTTAGTTCCTAGCCCTGAAAGGAGCTTTCAGATATATAATACAGTGGTGCCTCGGTTTTTGAATATCTCTGTTGACTGACATTTCAGTTTACGAACACCATAAACCCAGAAGTGCTTCGGTTTTCGAACACACCCCGGAAGTTGAACATGCCACACAGCTTCCGCTGAGTGCAAGATCCTGAGACCTAGCTGTCAGCTTTTGATCCCTCGGTTTTCAAACGTTTCAGAACTCGAACGGCCTTCTGGAACGGATTATGTTCAAAAACTGAGCTACCACTGCAGTGTCAACAGTGAATGTGTCTAATCGCAATAGGCATGAGAAAGCTAAAGGAGATTCCAAGATACCATGAGAAGGGGTTGGTAAATTATGCCCTATGGCTGTTTTTGTAAATAGAGATTTACTGAAGCACAGCTGTGCCCATTTTTTTTTTTTTTTTTTACCTATTTTCTATGGCTGCTGCCATGCTAAAACTACAGAATTGAGGAGTTGCAACAGAGACCATATGGCTCATATAGTCAAAAATATTATATGGCCCTTTACAGAAAAAGTTTGCCAACCCCTGCCATGGGACATATTCTTCAAGTTCCTTTATAAACATGCTTATCAACTCTTTATTTCTTAACCCAATAGTTCCCAAATTGTGTTTTGTAGAATATTAATATTCTCTAAGTTAATAAGTGTTCTGAGAAAAAAGGTCAATGCTAACAATAGGTTTTTTTAATAGTTTGTCTTAAAATATAAGTTTAAGACTACTAAACTCATTTCTATAGCTTTTATTTTTATGTGATAATCTACCTTTAAGAAAAGGTGTGCCATACCTGAGAGCACCAGGAAATCGCATGAGAGATCACCTGATAGACGAACGTGTGATGTTCCATCTGCGCATTGATGCATAGGCAGCATTTACAAATTAACTGATGTGTTGCTATATATCATCTCTTTGATGATTGCTCGTCTTCTATGTATCCTGTCTTATAATTTCAACAAATTTGTGATACTCAATGTTTATTCTAAACTAACCATGTTTTGTACCACAAATACATTGCCTATGGATCTATTGCCAAAACAAGGAAGTCTTAAACAAGAAGTAGAATCATTTTATCAAATTGTCTCTGAATCAAATGATCAAAAAGTTGGAATATTACAAAGTGAAGATGAACAGTTGCAGCCATCAGTTTCTAAAAAATCAGAAGATGAGCTTTCCAGGGTCCAGTTTATGTCCAATTCCAACAAAATAACATTTAGTAAGAAACCAAAAAGAAGAAAATATGATGAAAGTTATTTGTCTTTTGGATTTACTTACTTTGGAAATAGAGATGCACCTCATGCTCAGTGTGTGTTATGTAAGAAAATTTTATCAAATAGCTCTTTGGCCCCTAGTAAGCTTCGAAGACACTTGGAAACTAAACATGCTGCATATAAAGACAAAGACATAAGCTTTTTCAAGCAACATCTTGATTCACCTGAAAATAATAAACCCCCACCACCTAAAATTGTCAATACAGATAATGAAAGTGCTACAGAGGCATCATACAATGTAAGTTACCATATAGCCCTGAGTGGAGAGGCTCATACTGTTGGAGAATTACTTATCAAACCTTGTGCAAAAGATGTCGTGATGCGGATGTTTGATGAACAATACAGTAAAAAAATAGATGCAGTGCAACTATCGAACAGTACCATTGCACGTCGAATTAAGGATCTAGCTGCTGATATTGAAGAAGAGCTTGTTTGTAGACTGAAAATTTGTGATGGGTTTTCACTGCAACTAGATGAATCAGCTGATGTTTCAGGACTTGCCGTGCTGCTTGTGTTTGTTCGTTACCGGTTTAATAAGTCTATTGAGGAAGACCTACTCTTATGTGAATCTTTGCAAAGTAATGCTACTGGTAAAGAAATATTCAACTGCATCAACAGTTTTATGCAGAAACATGAAATTGAATGGGAAAAATGTGTTGATGTTTGTAGTGATGCTTCTAGGGCAATGGATGGGAAAATTGCTGAGGCTGTCACCTTGATAAAGTATGTCGCTCCCGAAAGTACCAGTAGTCACTGCCTATTATATAGACATGCACTAGCAGTTAAAATAATGCCTACATCTCTGAAAAATGTGTTAGATCAGGCAGTACAAATCATCAATTACATTAAAGCTCGACCACATCAATCGAGACTACTAAAAATTTTATGTGAAGAAATGGGTGCCCAGCACACAGCACTTCTTCTAAATACAGAGGTGAGGTGGCTTTCCCGAGGTAAAGTCCTTGTAAGACTTTTTGAGCTTCGTCGAGAACTATTGGTGTTCATGGATTCTGCTTTTCAGCTATCTGATTGTTTAACAAATTTATCTTGGCTGCTAAGACTTGCATATCTTGCAGATATTTTTACTAAATTAAATGAGGTTAATCTGTCAATGCAAGGAAAAAATGTGACAGTTTTTACAGTATTTGATAAAATGTCATCATTGTTAAGAAAATTGGCATTTTGGGCCTCATCTGTAGAAGAAGGAAACTTTGATTGTTTTCCTACACTCAGTGACTTTTTGACTGAAATTAATTCTACAGTTGATAAAGATATTTGCGTTGCCATTGTTCAGCACCTAAGGGGTTTGCGCTCTACTCTGTTAAAACATTTTCCGGTAACAAATGACAATAATGCTTGGGTTAGAAATCCATTTACAGTTACTGTTAAACCAGCCTCGTTAGTAGCACGGGACTATGAGAGCTTGATTGATTTAACATCTGATTCTCAAGTAAAACAAAATTTCAGTGAACTTTCCCTGAATGATTTTTGGAGTAGCCTAATACAAGAGTACCCAAGCATTGCAAGGCGTGCAGTTCGTGTACTTCTTCCTTTTGCTACAATGCACCTGTGTGAAACAGGATTTTCGTACTATGCTGCAACAAAAACGAAATACAGGAAAAGGCTTGATGCTGCACCTCATATGCGGATCCGACTTAGCAACATTACACCTAATATTAAGCGGATATGTGATAAAAAGACACAAAAACACTGTTCTCATTAAAATTGAAGGGTTTTGCATGTCTCGTGATAACCAAATATAAGATGAAAATAAAAGATGATTTACTTTATCTCTGGCATTTTGGGATTTTAAGTAAAATTATTCAGGTTTTTTATATTTCTTAGATTTTAAGGAAACTAGAGAATCAAAAACTTAAACGTGTTATTACTGGTATTTCTTCACATCATAATTTCAGAGGGTTCCATGGTCATAACTTTATCTTGATTCACAAGATAAAGCCCCTAATTCCTTAGCATAACGTACCTCTTTAGGATCTAATCCCTACCAATCTTTCAAGCCATGCCTATCCTGTAGCTAGCCAATCACATGGAATTTCTTGCCCTTCCCTAAACATCACATTGTTTCATGTTTTGGGGTCTCAAAAACTTATCCTTCCTCGTCTTCCTGACAAATTCCTGTTTGCTTTTCTAACACATTGACTTAATTTATCATAGATACTTTAATTCTCTGTATCTTTTTCTATTTTGGCCTTATTTTTTGTGTCTGTCTCAACTGTGACAGCTTGGTAGTCTCATGATTCCCAGTTGGACTGAGCTCTTATAGGGTCTTATCCAGCTCTGTCTCCCTAATATTGGCAAAAGGACCTCCTGAAGTGATGCTCAATAAAGGAAGAAATGTTGAAGGTCAACAACAAAAATGGAATGGGGTGTGGTGGGTTATATGTGTATATTCTGCATGTTTACAGAATTCTACCCTTTATGATTTTAGCTCAGTTATTCTAATACCTAGAATTCCGTGTGAAGTTAGGCAGAAGTCACTAAGAATGTCATAGCTCTGATTCAAGCTGAACTTTTGGGGAAGAGGAGAGGAAGTATGAAGAACACTTTCAAATATCTTCTTTGTTTCTCAGTTCCTATATACATTACTGCAAATTCCATACACTGTAGTCTAAATTAATGAGACTACTATACTTGAAGATAATTAGACTCTAAACCTCTCAACTCTTAGAATACTATGAAATATTTGACTCACATTCCTGTCTGTAGGCTTCTCTTTCCATATCACACCACACAGTGCAGATCACCATCTCAGTGCTAATCAAGAGCCACTGCAGATAGCCATTACTTATTTAATCTCATTTATTCAAACCTGTCTCCCATTTGGGGAATAGTAGTACCTCCCCTCACAAAGGAGAATGTGGTAGAATCACTAGATTTAGACACCTGCTCCACTACTCGACTAGCTATTTAATGAGCGATTGAGCCTTCCTGAACTGCAGTTATTCCTTCTGTAAAATAATTATGTCTTCTCTGAAGGGTTGTTATTCAGATTAAATGAGGATGTACAAAAAACTTCCAACGGTGGGTAATTAGGGATAAGCAACATGTACTAGTTCCCTGCCATATCCAACTATGTCCCAGTTGAACTCCACTCCACACTCACACTTCCAGTCCTGAGTTTTTATTCTCTGTGAAAATAGCCCTCCAGGCCATGGGACCTGAGTGAATCTGTGGAAGCAAGATTAACCATCTCTAGCCTATGCTTTTCCCCATCACATTATTAAGCACCTGTTTATCTGTCAGGTACCTTACTAGGCACTTGTATGTTATCTATAATCTTTACAACAATCCTAAAGGATTAGGCAATTTTGAATTTGGCACAGTCACACAATAAATGCCAGAACTTAGTTTAAAATGGGTCTTTTCCAAAGAGTACATTTTGCAGTTACTGCCTTTCAGATTTTTGTGATAGCATCAAATAGTGACTTGGAAATATAGATAAAACATCCTACTAAAGTCTGAGCATTTCTTTGGAATTGTGTTATTTTTCTCTAGATTCATCTAAATTTAGCTATTTCGAAGTATGACTGCTTATTTTTAAAATATGTAAAAAAGGAGAGGAAACAAGGTGGCAGCATAGGTAACAGCTGCACTCGCCGCCTCCTGCAACCACATCAAAATTACAACTAAAACACAGAACCACCATCACTCAGAGCCTCCTAAAATCTGGCTGCACAGAATCCCTACAACCAGGGAGCTGAAGGAGCACCAAAACCAGTAGGAGGGGCAGAGGCGCAGGCGGATTTGGGCTGAATCAGAGAGATCCGGCTGCGGGCCCACACCCAGTGCCACAGTTTAAACCTAGGAGGGAAATTCAGCGGTGGGGGGTTCCAGGAGGAGTGAGGGGTCCCAGCCCCACAACAGGTCCCCAGCCCAGGACTCCAGGGCCGGGAAGAGACATCCCCACAACTCCAGGCTGTGAAACCAGCGGGGACTGTTTGAGAGTCGTGGAGGCTGCGGGAGCCCCAGCAGCTCCTCTTAAAGGGCCCGCACTCGTACTCACTTGGATGCGCTCCCTCTGAGCCCAGCGCCGGGCAGCAGCTTGAATGGACCTGGGACACCCGGGGAGCAACTAACCTGCCTAAAATAGGGGCGGGTTTCTCCCAGGCAGAGGAGCTGGCAGAGGCCATTGCTCCTTTGGTGAGTCCTCCCCACACACAGCCAGCAGGCAGGTGCCATGTTTGAGTCGCCAGCCCCTGACTCATATCTTTGTCCCCGCCCCGAGATTCCCAGAGGCCCGACCCCTCCCTACGGCAAGCTCATTCAGGCCATTTCCAGGGACTTTTCTCTGGCCTCTCGAGCTTTATGCTTTCCTAAAATCTCTCAAACAAGCAGCAGCGTGTCCCATACATCTTGATAAGTGGCCCCAGCCTGGCACTAGTGGCAGCCTGCACTGGCTCATAGCTTAGCCTCTCCTGGACACCTCCAAGCCCAGTACAAGTAGCAGCCATCTACGGATTGCTTTGAAGCTCAGGCTGGGTGTCCCTGGGCAAGGCACTGGCACAGGCTGACTTTGCACCTCCCAGGAGGCCTCAGTGACAGTGCACCTGGTGGTCAGACTCGACCACAATGGATTACAACCCTACCACATCTACAAGTAACACACTCAAGGGGTGCACTTGGTGAACACCAAAGCGCCACTGAAGAAAATTCTGCTCCATAGGGGTGTCTCCAGCACAGCAGCTCTCTGGCTGTAGTTGCAGCTGGTCCTCACAGCTGATTGGTCTGGGGGTCAGTTGCACCAACAGCAACCAGGGCTCAACTACAACAGGACAATGCACACGGGAGCACCTAGAAGGCCCAGCTCAGGTGACTGGGGAGGCTGAGCCACTGGACCCTACAGGACACCTATGTCACAAAGCCACTCTACAAATTCCAGGAGACATAGCAGCTTTACCTAATACATAAGAAACAAACACCTGGAAGCAGCCAAAATGCAGAGGCAAAGAAACATGTTATAAAGGAAAGAACAGAAATGAAGAATAATTTACAGGGAATAAACAGTAGAGTAGAGGATGCTGAACATGAGGAAACAAAAAACACCCAACCAGAAGAGCAAAAAGAAAAAAGAATCCAGAAACATGAAGATAGCATAAGGAGCCTCTGGGACAACTTCAAGAGGCCCAACATTTGTATTACTGGGATGCCAGAAGGAGAGGAAAGAGAGCAAGAAATTGAAAACCTATTTGAAAAAATAATGACAGAAAACTTCCCCTACCTGGGGGAAGAAATAGACTTACAAGTCCAGGAAGCACAGAGGGTCCCAAACAAGAGGAACCCAAAGAGGCTCACAGTAAGACACATCATAATTAAAACGCCAAAGGTTAAAGACAAAGAGAGAATCTTAAAAGCAGTAAGAGAAAAGCAGTTAGTTACCTACAAGGGAGCACTGATATGACTGTCAGCTGATTTCTCAACAGAAACTTTGCAGGCCAGAAGGGAGTCGCAAGAAATATTCAAAGTGATGAAAAACATGGAACTACAACCAAGATTACTCTACCCAGCAAAGCTATCATTTAGAATTGAAGGTCAGATAAAGAGCTTCTCAGAGAAGGAAAAGCTAAAGGAGTTCATCACCACCAAACCAGCACTACAGGAAATGTAGAAGGGTCTTCTTTAACAAGAAGCTAATGAACAAAAGAATCTGATGAACTAAATAGATCCAGAGACTTTGACGCATGTAACAGATGATCATATTTCAGAGGGAAGGGGAGTGGAGGGTGGGAAGAGATTAACCAAAGAAGTTATATGCATATATGCATAACCCATGGACACAGACAATGATGGGGTGAAGGCCTGGGGAGGGGATGAAAGCGAGGTGGAGGGGGTCAATTGGAGGGGAAAAAATGGGACACCTGTAATACTTTCAACAATATATATTTAAAAAATAAATAAAAATATGTAAAATATAGAGATTAAATTGCCATCAAGTAAAATTAATTTTCCAAAAAGATTCATCATAACATATATTTTGTCAGCTAATCCCAGAATTAAATCTACCCTAGTTTGAGAAGCATGTATAATGCCATATGTCCACATCTGGCTGATAACCTCAAGTCTGATAACTGGACCCCTTATGTGATTGCTGAACCTGAGCCCAGGTGGGCCATCTGTCCGTGATGTCAGCCTCTAAAGATAGTTAAAACCTCTTGTGCTTTACAATTTTCCGCCTCACCTCCTCTGAGAGTCCAGATTCCTGCATTTAAACTCAAGTCTATTGACTGAGACACTGCTATCTGCTCCTATATCTCTTCAATCTTAACTTGGTTCTTGATGCCAGCTGCTCACCTGTTTTATAATATTCTAAATAACATTCTCATGGCACCCTCAGATGACAGCTACCCTTCCTGCCTGTGCATGAAACAGTAAAGTTTCCCTAATGTGCCCAACCCAAAAGGACTTTCCCACTTTTAATCCCTATATTTCTAGTATTTGAAATTGTATTGAGTTCTTAATGAAGATTATTTCCTATGTCAATCTTGTGCTACCACCATACATACTTAAATATATAGATTGTACTCTTATAGCTAAGACTTCTTTTGGATCATTCACATAACTTAGCAAACTTCTGATACAAAAAGTGCTCAGTGAATTGAATTCCCTAGCTTAAAGGGTGAAGTATTAATGTGAAATATAGTTCATACTATAACATTATGAAAATTAGCTTTAAAATCCCTAGCCTCACTAAAACAGGTAAGTCAGTAGTTTTTCTTTGCCTTTCAAAGACTTCAAAAGCATTTCTTTAATAAGCCCCCCTGTTGCCTTAAAAATGCAACTT